GTGCTATCTATAACCATCACATTATAAATAGCACAAAAAAATTGAGAACATACTCTTCTAGTACTAGAAAACTATTATCCAATTCCGTAAAGAAGTTTCTCACCCGACTGACACATCAGTGAAATGCTGATGCACATCTTCATTGTTTCACTTCCCCTTACTCATTACCATAAACGGAAATACCAACCATCATACCTACACTCAGAGAACTAGTAGCGGAACACTTAGTAGCACACCACTGACTTATATGTGAGAAAATGCTAAATGTTATGAAGAAAAAGATGAACAGGGTTAAGAGGGGAATTAGAAGTGCTGGAGGCAGGGATAAAGTTTTAAGAAAGTAATATATGGGGCACCTGGATGGCTCAGCTGGTTAAGCACTGCCTTCGACTCAGGTCATGATCCTGGAGTTCTAGGATCGAGTCCCGCATTGGGCTCCCAACTCCATGGGGAGTCTGCTTCTCCCTCTGACCTCCCCGTCATGCTCCTCTCACTGTGTGTGTCTCTCTCTTAAATAAATAAATAAAATCTTAAAATATATATATATACACAAATATATGTATATGTATATATATGAGCAAAGAATTGAAGGAGGTAAAAAAGGGAGCATACAAGTAGGATGAGAATTCCAGAAAAAGAAAATCAGTGCAGTTTTTTGAGGCGGTGGCTTGCCTAGAGTATCTGACAAACAGAAAGTTAGTCAGTGTGTTCAGTGCAAAATGAAACAATAGACTAGGAGAGATGAGACCAGATGGGCATAGGGCAAAGTCATACAGGGTCTTGCAGGCTAAACACTTTGATTTTTTCTTCTGAGAGAAACAGGAAGCCATTGAAAGGTTCTAAATAGAACTTATGCTTTGTGTTTGGCTGCTACAAGGCAGGGGGCTGTGGGGAGTAGGGAAGGAAAAAATGAAATAAGATGGGATCGGGAGGGAGACAAACCATAAAAGACCCTTAATCTCACAAAACAAACTGAGGGTTGCTGGGAGGGTGGAGGGTTATGGACAGGGTGGCTGGGTGATGGACATTGGGGAGGGTATGTACTATGGCGAGTGCTGTGAAATGTTAAGACTGATGATTCACAGACTTGTACCCCTGGGGGCAAATAATACATTATATGTTAATAAAAATAATTAAAAAAAATGGACTAAAGATTTCCTTTTTGATTTTGTGGTTGACCCATTCATTGTTTATAGCATGTTATTTAGACTTCCCTTATTTGTGCTCTTTCCAGAGTTTTTTTTCCTGGTCATTGATTTCTAGTTTCATACCATTCTGGTCAGAAAAGACGCATGATAGGATTTCAGTTTTTGTTAATCTGTTGAAATTTGTTTGGGGGCCTAACATGATCTGCTCTAGAGAATGTTCCAGGTGCACTTGAAAAGAATGTGTATTCCACTGCTTTTGCATGGTATGTTGTGAATATATCTGTTAGATCCATCTAGTCCAATGTGTTGTTAAAGTCACTGGGCACCTGGCTGGCTCAGTCAGTAGAGCGCGTCTCTCGATCTCAGAGTTTTAGGTTCAAGCCTCACTCACATTGGGTGTAGAAATTACTTTAAAAAAAAAAAAAAAGTATAAAAAATAAAAAGAACAAAAACTCCCAAAAAACAAAGCTACTGTTTCTTATTGATTTTTTATCTGGATGATCTATTCATAGATTTAAGCGGGGTGTAAAATTCCCCTATCATTGTCTTACTGTCAATTTCCTTCTGTGTATCTGTTAATTGCTGCTTTTTGTATTTAGGTGCTCCCAAGTGAGTGTACAAATGTTTACAATTGTTATATCCTTTCGCTGGACTGTTCCTTTCTGATGACAGTGTCCTTCTTTGTATATTGTTACATTCTTTGTTTTATATTTTGCTTATGTAAGTATTGCAACCGGGCTTTCTTTGCACTTCTATTTGTCTTGTAAATATTTTGTCACCCCTTCAATTTCAATCTGCATGTCTTTACATCTCAAGTGAGTCTTGCAGGTAAACTGGTACAGCCACTGTGGAAAGAGTATGGAGTTTCCTTAAGACTTTTAAAATAGAATTACCATATGATCTAATAATGCCACTGCTAAGTATTTACCCAAAGAAAATGAAAACACTAATTCAAAAAAGATACCTGCACCCTTATGCTTATTGCAGCATTATTTACAATAGCCAAGACAGGGAAGCAACCCAAGTGTCCATGAACAGATGAATGGATAAAGATGTGGTATATTCTACAATGGAATACTACTCAGTCATTAAAAAAAGAATGAAATCTTACCATTTGCAACAACATGGACCCTATAGGACATAAAGCTAAATGAAGTCAGTCAGTCAGAAACACGAATACCATATGATCTCATTCATATGTGAGATTTAAGAAACAAAACAAATGAAGAAAAAAGATGACAAACAAAAAAACCCAGACTCTGTTAAGTGTGTAAACCTGGTGTTTCACAGACCTGTACCCCTGGGGCTAATAATCCATCCATATACATCCAATAAAAAATAAAAAAAAAAAAAACCCAGACTCTTAAATACAGAGAGCAAACCAGTGGCTGCCAGAGGGGAGGTGGTAGGGGGATGTGTGAAACAGATAAAGGAATTAAGAATACATTTATGATGGGATAAGTCAGTTGAGGTTGAACGTCTGACTCTTAGATTCAGCTCAGGTCACAGTCTCGGGGTGGTGGGACTGAGCCCTGCCTTAGACTCAGAGGCCAGTGAAGAATTTGCTTGGGATTCTCCCCCTCTCCTTTTCTCTCTCTCTCCCTCAAATAAATAAATCTTAAAAAAAAAAAAAAAAAAGCACACTTAACATAATGAGCAATGAGTACTGTATGGAATTGCCAAGTCAGTATACTGTACACCTGAAACTAATCTAACACGATATGCTAATTATACTTGAAAAAAACGTGTTTTGGAACTAGATCGAGGTGGTGGCTGTACAACACTGCGAATGTGCTAAATACCATGGAATTGTTCACTTAAAAAACGAAGAAGAAGAATGGGTTGATGAGAACAAGAATGAAAGCAGGGAGACAATTAGAGGCTACTATTAAGTAATCCTATAGATGACGGTGAACTGGACTGATGGTTAAGAGTAGAAGTGCTCCTGAATCTTATTTCTGTAACAGCTCTAGAAAATGCACTGTTCACTAATAAAATCTGTTGAAATCACATTGGGACTATTTCAATGGGAGAGAGGTGTATGAGATTCGATTATTAATGCTGAAAAAGACAAATTTTCTAAAACAAAGTAAGAGATCAACTGTTTCAAATAGGAAATCTTATCTACAATGATCAAAAAATCAGGTGAACTGTCATACTTTTTATGGTAATTAAGCTCATGCTTGACAAATTTCTTCAACACTGTCTGTGTATAGAGTATATGAAGGATTGCATGCACATACAGGTATTTGCTCTACACAGGAAAGAAAAAAGAACAAGAAGAGATATTAAATACCAGGTACCCACTGTGTGAATGGTACCAATGTAGTAGTTTCATGTGCAAGCTTAAAGACAGTTGAGATAACTGTCCCTGGGGCACCTGGGTGGCTCAGTTGGTTAAGCATCCAACTCTCGATCTCACCTCAGGTCTTGATCTTAGGGTTGGGAGTTCAAGTACCACGTTGGGTGCCACTGGGCATGGAGCCCACTTAAAAAAAAAAAAAAAAAAAAAGGAAAAGAAATAGGAAATAACTGTCCCTAACCATGGGAAGACCGCATTAAAGGAAGAGACAAATTAATTATAGGATCAGCTCCTAAATGCTTCCTAAAGACATCACAAATAAAAAACTGCAAAAATAAAACTCCAAATAAAAGAAAGCTTTCTAAGAAAAACTTAACTGACAAACAAAGGTTTATCTGACTTGTTATATTCAACAAAGGAGGTTAAAATTCCTAGAAGAATCATCATCTATGGCCAGTGCAGTCATATAAGGCACAACACTATTACGTCTTAAAACAAACAAAATTCTCTAATATAGAACAAGGAACAATAATTGTTCCACATGGTGAGCCACAAGCTGGAAATGGTCTTATCTATTGGAAAAATGTAATAAAATTTAAAAGACCAAGAATTAATGGACAAAAGGTATACTTTCTAACAATGGTTTATCAACATGGCATACATGTAGTTAGTTAGCTTTATGGTTATAAAATTGGATTATTTTAATATAAAAAAGTTTTAATAAAAGCTATTGAGCACTAACTCTATAATAATGCAAGAGTTTTTCTATAATGGTTATTTACATTGGAATGAACTAAATAGTAAGACTGCAAAAGCCTCACTTTTTTAAAGTACGGACTAAGGATTCTGGAAACTATATTTTATACATATATCCCAACCAAGACACTAACCTAACAAAAGAATTTCCTCTAATCTGTAAATGTTTACAAAAGATCATCTACCTGAAAATGAAAGACATGCCACAAATTAGGAGAATATTTGCCATTATAAACAAATTATTAGTATCCTGACATTTAAAGACTTCTAAAAAATAATAAGCAAAATCAAATTATCGGTTTAAAATAGAGTATAAATGGAAAATATACTATATTTTACATACAAAGTTACAGAAATGACCAATGAATACATGAAGAAAATGCCCAACCTCCACAATACTCAGGAAGATGCCAATTAACACACCTTATGTCATCTTACCGCTTTCAGTTTAGCAAATATTAAAGAATTTAACAGTAAGATATGAAGTGAAAGGCATTCATTCTTATTCCCTTAATAGGAACATAAACTGGGGCAACCATTTTGAAAAGTAATTTGGCACTGTACAGGCAAGTTGAAGACACACATGCCCTCACGACTCAGCAATTCCACTTCTAGGTATACATTCCTGAGAAACTCTTAGACATGTACACAGAAAGGCGTACAACCTATCTGTGTAGCATTGTTTATGGTTAATAACAGTAAAAGAACAGTAACACTGGAATCTAATTATACATTCATGTAAGAAATACAGAACATTCACACACTGAAATACTACCCAGAAGTAAAAATGATACCTCAATAAAAAATAAATCTCAGGGGTATCTGGGTGGCTCCGTCGGTTAAGGTCTGCCTTCAACTAGGTAATGATCCCAGGGTCCTGGGACTGAGCCTGGAGTCAGGTTCCCTGCTGAATGGGGAGTCTGCTTCTCCCTTTCTCTCTGCCTTCCTCCTGCTTGTTCTGTCTCTTTCTCTGTGTCAAATAAATAAAATCTTTTTAAAAAATAATTAAGAGAAAAAGAAGTAAAAATGAATGATTTACAGCATATATCATGGATGTCTCTCACAATGTTGAAGAAGGGAAGCAAATTGTTTATGTTATGATTCCTTTATATAGATACTAACAACTAACACTCAGACAACACTGCCTCTGTACACTATGTACTTTGCATACAATGACTACTTTAATCCTTGTATCAGCCCTATCAGGTAAATTTTATTTTTTTAAATTTTTATTTATTTATTTGTTTTAGACAGACAGAAATAGAGATACAGAGAGAAAGAGAGAGAGAGATGGGAGAGGCAGAGGCTGAGGGATAAGCAGACTCCCTGCTGAGCACAGAGCCTGACATGGGGTTGGATCACACAAGCCTGAGATCATGACCTGAGCCAAAAACCAAGAGCTGGACACTCAACCAACTGAGCCACCCAGCTGCCCAGGTAAATTCTACTTTTAATCTCTATTTCATACAGAAAGAAACAGCCATGGAGAAGTAATATGCCCTAAACACATGATGGAATAACCACCTGTCATGAGACTATGCTCTTAGACCCCTGACATTACACTGTCTCTCAAAAATAGCAGAACTAAACACACCTAGGAATACATACATAATTACCAAAACAATAAAGAAAATACAAACATAATTAGGGGCAGTGTTACTGAGGGAAAAGAAAGGGGGACAACATAATTGGGAAAGGTTCACATGGGACTTCAAAGTTTCAATAATGTTCTAATTCTTTTTTTCCCCTTAATTCCAGTAATAGTTAACATACAGTATTATATGAGTTTCTGGTATTACAATACAGTGATCCAACAGTTCTACACATTACTCAGTTCTTATCATAATAAGTATACTCTTAATCCCCTTCTCCTATTTCACCCATCTCCCCACCTATCTTCCCTCTGGTAAACACCAGCTTGATCTCTATAGAGAAATCTATGTTTTCGTCTTTTTAAAAATTTTTTAAAAAGATTTTATTTATTCGACAGAGATCACAAGTAGGCAGAGAGGCAGGCAGAGAGAGGAGGAAGCAGGCTCCGTGCTGAGCAGAGAGCCCGACGTGGGGCTCGATCCCAGGACCCCGGGACCATGACCCGAGCTGAAGGCAGAGGCCTTAACCCACTGAGCCACCCAGGTGCCCCTTGACTCTTTTTTAATATGTTCACTTCTTTCGTTTCTTAAATTCCATGAGTGAGATCATATGGTATTTGTCTTTCTCTGATGGACTTATTTCACTTAGCTTTATACCCTCTAAATCCATCCATGTTGTTACACATGACAAGATTCCATTTGTTTTCCTGGCTGAGTAATATTCCATTGTAGAAAACATTACAGCTTCTTCCATTCATCTACCGATGGACACTTGGGCTGCTTCCATAATTGTAGATAATGCTGCAATAAAGACAGGGCTGAATGTATCCTCCTGAATTAGTGTTTTTATATTCTTTGGGTAGTAAATAACTAACAGTCCAATTGCTGGATCATCAGGTAATTCTATATTTAACTTTCTGAGGAACTTCCATACTGTTTTCCAAAGTGGTTACACCAGTTCACATTCCCACCAACACTGCAAAAGGGTTCCCTTTTCCCCATATCCTTGCCAACACCTGTTGTTCCTTGTGTTGTTGATTTTAACCAGTCTGACATGTGTGAGGTGATATCTCATTTGTGATTTTTGATTTGCATTTCCCTCATGATGAGTGATACTGATCATCCTTTCCTGCATTTGTTGGCCATCTGTGTATCTTCGATGAAGAAATGTCTGTTTATGTCTTCTGTCCATTTTTAACTGGATTATTTGTTTTTTGGAGTATTGAGTTATATACACTTATTTTTAAAATATTTTATTTATTCATTTGTCAGAGAGAGAGAGAGAGAGCACACGCATACAAGCAGGCAGAGTGGCAGGCAGAGGCAGAGAGAGCAGCAGGCTTCCTGCTGAGCAAGAAGCCGGATACGGGACTTGATCCCAGCACCCTGGGATCATGACCTGAGCCGAAGGCAGCGGCTTAACTGACTAAGCCACCCAGGTGTCCCTATATATGGTTTTTTTTTAAAAAAAGAGTTTATTTGAGAGAGAGAGCATGTGCGTGTGCACGAGTGGGAGGAGGGACAGAAGGAGGAGAAAATCCTTAAGCAGACTCCCTGCTGAGCATGGAGCCTGACATGGGGCTCAATCCCAGGACCCCAAGATCATGACCTGAGCCTCTATCAAGAGTCAGATACTCAACTGACTGAGCCACTCAGCTAGCTCCCCATGGATTTTCTATTCTGTTCCACTGATCTACGTGTCTCACTTTTGTGCCAGACAATACCATTTTTATTAATACAGCTTTGCAGCATATCTTGAAGTCTGGGTTTGTGCTACTTCCAGTTTTGTTCTTCCTCTTCAAGGCTGCTTTGGCTATTCAGGGTCTTTTGTGGTTCCATACAAATTTTAGGATTATTTGTTCTAGTTCTGTGAAAAATGCTATTGGTATTTTGATAGGGATTGCATCAAATCTGTACGTTGCTTTGGGTAGTATGGCCATTTTAACAATATTTGTTCTTCTACTCTGTAAGCATGGGATGTCTATCTATTGCATTGTGTCATCTTCAGTTTCTTTCATTGGCATATTATAGTTTTCAGAGTACCGATCTTTCACCTCCTTGGTTAACTTATTTCTAGGTATTTTATTATTTTTGGTATAATTCTAAATGGGACTGTTTTCTTATTCTCTCTTTCTGCTGCTTCATTATTAGTGTATAGATATGCAAAGGACTTCTGTATATTGATTTTGTATCCCATTACCTTACCGAATTCGTTTATCAGTTCTAGTAGTTTTTTGGTGGAATCTTTATGGTTTTCTATACATAGAATCATGTCATCTGCAAAGAGTGAAAGTTTTACTTCTTCCTTACCAATGTGGATGACTTTTATTTCTTCTTCTTGACTCGTTGTTGTGGCTGGGACTTCCAATACTATGTTGAATAAAAGTGGTGAGAGTGGACATCCTTGTCTTGTTCCTGATCTTAAGGGAAAAGCTCTCAGTTTTTCACCACAGAGTATCATGCCAGATCTGGGTTTTAGCATATATGGCCTCTTATATGCTGAGGTGTGTTCCCTCTAAACCTGCTTTATTGAGGGTTTTTGTCATGAATGGATGTTGTGCTTTGTCAAATGCTTTTTCTGCATCTATTGAAATGATCATGGTTTTTTTTATCCTTTCACTTGTTGATGTGAAGTATCATGTATATTGATTTGTAGATACTGAAGCACTCCTGCATCCCAGGAACAAATCCCACTTGATCATGGTGAATGATTTTTTTCATGGACTGTTGGATTTGCTAATATTTTGTTGAGGATTATTGCATCTATGTTCATGAGAGATACTGGCCTGTAGTTCTCCCCGCCCCCCCGCTTTTTGTAGTGTCTTTATCTGGTTTTGGTATCAATAATGTTGGCTTCACAGAATGAATGTTGAAGCTTTCCCTCCTCTTCTGTGTTGTGGAATAGTTTGAGAAGAATAGGTAGTAATTCTTCTTTAACTATTTAGTAGAATTCACCTGTGAAATTGTCTGGTCCTAGACTTTTTTTTCTTGAGACTATTTTATTACTGATTCAATTTCATCGCTGGTAATTGGTCTGTTCAAACTTTCTATTTCTTCCTGATTCACTATTGGGAGGTTATATGTATCTAGGAATTTATCCATTTCTTCTAGACTTCCAATTTGTTTGCATATAATTTTTCAGAATATTCTCTTTATAGTCCTTTGGATTTCTGTATTACTGTTATTTCTCCTCTTCAATTTCTGATTTTGTTTAAGTCCTCCCCCTCTTTTTGGTGAGTCTGGCTGAAGGTTTATAAATTTTGTTGATCTTTCTGAAGAACCAGCTCCTGGTTTCATTGATCTGCTCTGGTTTGTTTTGTTTTGGTTTTTTTGTTTGTTTTTTAGCTTCTATTTCATTCATTTTTGCTCTAATCTTTATTATTTCCTTCCTTCTACTGGTTTTGAGTTTCATTTGTTCTTTTTCTAGCTCTTTAAGGTGTAAGGTTAGGTTGTTTGAAATTCTTCTTGCTTCTTGAGGTAGGCCTATATTCCTATAAACTTCCCTCTTAAAACAACTTTTGCTGTGTCGCAAAGATTTTTGACCATTGTGTTTTTGTTTTCATTTATCTCCATGTATTTGTCATTTCCTCCTTGACTTCCTGGTTGGCCCATTCAGTGTTTAGTAGCATGTTATTTAACCTTCATGCATCTGTATTGTTTTCCAGATATTTTTATTTATTTATTTATTTTTGGTGGTTGATTTCTAGTTTCATAGCACTGTGGTCAGAAAAGATGCCTAGTAGGACTTCAGCTTTTTCAATTTGTTCGGACTTGTTTTGTGGCCTACTATGTGATATATTCTGTAGAATGTTCCATGTATGTGTACTGCAAAAGATGTGTATTCTGTTCTTTTAGGATAGAATGTTCTGAAAATGTCAGTTTCATCTGGTCCAATGGGTCATTCAAGCCACAATTTCCTTACTGATCTTCTGAATGGATGACCTATCCATTGATCTAAGGTGGGTGTTAAAGTCCCCTATTACCATAGGACTATCGATTACTTCCCTTATATTTGCTATTAGCTTTATGTATCTGAGTGCTCTCATCATAAATACTTACAATTGTTATTATCTTCTTCCTGGATTATTCCTTTTATGCTTATGTATTGTCCTTCCTTGTCTCTTGTTACATTCTTTGTGTTAAAGTCCATTTTGTCCAACATAAATATTGCTACCCTGGCTTTCTTTTCATTTCTGTTTTCATGACAAACTCTTTCC